TATATATATATATATATCTGTGTGCGTGCGTGTGAGAGAGAGAGAGAGAGCTTGTGTGTATTTTCAGTTGAATTACGTGTGTGTGTGAGAGAGAGAGAGAGAGATAGAGAGACCTTGTGTGTATTTTCAGTTGAATTATCACTTTCATGCAAAACTTAAAATAATAGCTTACATGATTTGCAAATTACAGATCTTAAGAGCATAAGATAATTTACCAAAGCAAATTCAATTGAATAAGAGACGTCAATTCCTAAAAAAGGAAAAAAGATAAAATTGCAAATCATCAATTTTTATAGTAAATACCTGATTAAGCATCCATTTCAAACCAACAGCAGCAGTGCATTCATTCTTAGAGGCACTGCTATACCAATCCAAATTGTACACCTTATCCAATGTGGCTATGATAGTAGAAATATTGCTTCGCCTTTCCTTTACAGAAAATATCTCTCCATTGGAGCTAATATTGATGTGGCTATTTAATAATGTCTCAAACCAACCACTACCGGACCTTTGCATCGATAATATAGCAAAATACCGAACTGGAATGCATGCACAGTCATCCCTGGCAATTGGACAAATTATATATATTACATATGGATAATGACTTTTGCATAGCTAAATAAAAATAAAAAATAAAAAAGAGCAGACAAGTATGCCTGTTACCTAGTATAATTTGTCGGTTTTGGGTAGTGAATGTAAGGAATTTCAGATGCACTAATTCCAGGGTACTGACAATGTTTACTCATGATTTCAACCCTCATCATATTGGGGCTGATAAAAAACCCCTTTTGCCTTAAACATATTGAGCATATATAAATACTGCTAATCATTACCACAGTCAAAACAACAGTCCTCAACAAAATTGGATATTTTTTGTGAGGTTTTGTCCCAAAAGCATCCTGCAAGTAGAGTTTAACGTAAAGACCAAACAAATTAGGTTCAAGCTACTACATTTAATAATTAGGAAGTAAATGATATCCTTTCCAGTATAGATTTATTAATAACCATAAGAATGACTATGAGCTAGGTCTGGCCATGAATAAATGGCTAAAGCGAATTTGAAAAATCATGAAAAAAATTTGGGTAGTAAGTATTGTCAGGGCGATGGATACAAAAAATAGCATATTAAGCCCAATGGCTCAATGAACCTTTGTTAAAGGGGATGAAACAGTAAGATATTGTGGCCATTTAGGGACATAGAAACATTCAACCAAGGACTTCTCCAGAACACACTCGACAAAATTTGAGGAATAAAAATCTACTTAATTCAAAAAAAAAATTCAAAAAACAAAATATATATGTAAAAATCCTAACATGCAGAGGAAAACCCAAAGAGCCCAAAGACAGAACTAAAAACCACTCAGAAACTAGACGAGCATGCCATCAACATCAAAACCTAGAAAGACAAAATCGTCCCAGCATTCTTCAAATTCAAAATGTAAAACTTGGATTTGTTTGCCTAAGCAGGAAAAAAAAATCAAAGCAAAAATAAAAAATAAAAATGAAACCATCACCTTATGGACCAAAGAGCAATCCTCCACCATCTTCCCTCTCTGCCCGTCAACTTTCTTCCCGATTTACAGAAGACCATCAAAGGATCATCCTCCTAACTTCCTTCAATACATAATAGCTTCGCGTCTTGACTTGCACTCCAACAATCAAACCCCACCAGTGAAATCAGGTGTTTATCGCATCAAAAACCCTTCGTTGTTCTTCAATTTTGCTCTTCTACCCCCCTTTTGTACAAAAGCCGTTCCTCTCCTCTTCCAGTCTTTTAGCTCTTCTTTCTCTCGCCGTTTCTCTCCATAACAAATGCAAAATGTGGTCAATCAACTTATAATTCTGGGGACGAAAACGAAGCCGACTAGCGCAGAACCTGCAAAATGTTCAGTTTGTTAGCAGAGGACGATTGTAGTTCTTATCCGCCGTATTATTGTAGTTAATTATATATAGTCAGTTTTCCTCTAGTAATCTGTTTTCATAGTTGTGTCGAAATGTTTATTGGGGGAAATTATTCTTTAGTTTATCAAGGATTTGGATATTCTCTCGGTGAAAATAGCTTCTGCAACTAAAACGGCACAGCACAAATCTTAAAAGAGATCAACAACCATAAGGAAAATGATGTCACCTGATCCCGATCTTATGTGACACTGTTACGATTTATGTGGTTATATTCTTAATTTTTCCTTACTTATATCTCCTATTTTGTAAGGACGCCAAAAACTTGATTTTCAAGCAAATAAATGTGCAATTATTTTATTTAAATATGTGATACTATGCAAGTATACATATCATTATCAAATAATATAAGACTTTTTTATCAAGCCACAAATATCGAACTCATTGGGAGAATTAGAATGTGTTAATAAGAAATTAGATAACAAACTCTAATTTGAAAAATATTATTACTCAAACTATAGATCATATAATAGGAATGAAAGTTCGAGTATTTTTGGTAATCTTTGATAATTTAAAATAAAGTAAACAACTAACTAAATTTAACTAGATATTTGTAACATGAAAACAATCTAAATAAAATATCTTTTTCCTTATCATGAATCAGTAACAAGTATAAGATTTCTATTATTGAAGTATTCAAATTGTATTGTGTCAAATAGGAGCAATATTATTCTTTACCCTTACTAGAGATGCTATAAAGAATGTTAGCTAATTTAAAGTTTAAATAATCTTGAAGATGGGGTAGGTAGGGAAGATACTAGCTCTATACTAGCTAGCTCTCACTCTAGAGTTCTCTTTTCTCCCTTCACCTGGGGGCTAACATCTCGTATCAAAACCTAAAACTATAAACCAAATTGGAGGCTTTTGCCTGTCACTCTAAAGTCATATAACTTTACATCCTTCAAAGTTTATTTCCCTATTTATTTGCACTCAATCATATGAATTATATTCTCATCCAAACAATCTCATTTGATTTTTACCATTAATTGACTGAGATAATACCATCACGGATATTACATATTCTCAAAACAAATATTAACATCTTAATTGGCCAAATCAAGAAGTAAATTAAGTATAATGTTTAAAGTCATCACAACTTATTCCAACATTAAAGATTAATACTTTACACAACTTCCATCCAACACTTAATCACTTATTCAATTTAAGGGAAAAGATAAAGAAAACTACTCAGAATTCATGGAGAAAACACAACCACACTTAACTTTAAAAGTAGAAATCATATAAATAAATAAGAAGTCTAAATTAAAATAAAATTTAGTCTTAAAGATAAAAAATTATCTCAATAAGATAAAAACTTATCAGATAAAAACTTATCTCAAATCCTCTCAACCAAACTCTTGAAGTTCCTTTGAATCTCTTCTCTTCCTTTCACTTACAATACTCTCTACTCAGTACAACTCTTCTCCTTCTTCTATCTAAAAGTATCCTAATTAATCTAAAAGAGAGACGTCGGTGGCGTCTAAAGTGGGCGCGTCGGAGCCTCTTCGATCCAATCTTCTTTTATAATTTTCTAAAAGATGCTTTGGCGTTTCTTCAAAATGTGTCCACATTCAATGAATCTTCCGGGAGTTGCCTTCTTTCTTGTGTCCACATTCAATGAATCTTCCAGGAGTTGCCTTCTTTCTAAAGCCAAATGAATGTATTTTCGTGCCCATTAACCATATTCCACGTTTTTACCAAGAGCCGCTTCAAACACCCCGTCAAAAATTCTTCCCAAGTCATTAAATCATCAAGTAACTACCTCTGACACTTAAGCACATGGTATATGGCGCTTAGGCACAGCCTTCTCGATTTTCCTGACACTTAAGTGTCAGTTCTAGGCGCTTATGTGCCACAGTTCGTTTGCACATCTTCTTCATTTTTTCTCCAAATTTGATCATTTTTTACTCATTTCACCATTTTTCATCCATTTAATTCTACATGAAAGAAAAACACATAAATACCTTCTAATAAAACACAATATCCTCAAGAATAGGTATAAAAATGTGTACATAAATATCAAATATTATATGTGTATCAAAATCCCCCAAATATAAATATTATTTTTCCTCAAGTGACTCTCTAATTTTTTAAAACCAGAATAATTATATTATGCAAATGAGTTCCGTTAGGATATTCTAAAATTTTGATCTAGAAATATAGTAGTCTAATTTAGAAAAAACATAAGTAAATGAAACCAACTTAGAGTAGACTAACTTAAAGTTTAGAAATCTTTAATGTAAAGAAGTTTGAAAATATGAGTCCCTATCTAATTCATAAATATTTATAAATTCTCCAAATATAGAGTTTAGGCATTTTATCTTCTCCACTTATAAAAATTTTATTAAGAATAATTATACTTTCTATATTATATCCTTAAGCTTAAGAGTTTCTCAAATCTGTACTTTAAAAAGATTAGATATGGAACCAATTTTTAATTAGGTACTTATCATCAAGCTTATCCTTCCTATTTCAACTTTCCTTTTCTTTTTCTTTTTCTTTTTCTTTTTTTTTTCTTTTTTTCTTTTTCAGGTGAGAATTACTATATCTGGATTGACCTTTAATGATTTTGAACTCCACTAATCATTTCCTAAAACAAAGTTCTGATATATATCCTTTACCTAAAAATATAATAATAGTTTTGAAAATTATTTTTAATAAAAGAAATTTAAGTATTGAAAATAAAAGTCGAACCCTTCTATATTTTTTAAAGTACAATTTCTTATACTAAAGATAGTTTTGCAATATTTATCATTTCTTACACTAAAAATTTTTAACTTTAAGTTTTTCTTCATTACTATAGGTTTAAACTAAATTTTCTTAGTCATTTCTATGTTCAAAATTTTACTTCCCTAATATAACTTCATATACATAATATTTTTTTCTCAAATTAAAATCAAATTTATTTGTAGTACATTTGAGAACAAATAGAATTCAAGTTTTAGAAATTATTTTTCATCTCCCTAAACTTCAATTTTTAATAAGATAAAACATTTTAGCATCATATTTCTATAAAGGCAGGAATTAAAACTAAAAATAATATGCTTAAAGAAAATTTCATACCCTAAATATACAAGTAAGAAAATTAAAAACAAGAGTCAAAATTATATGAACATATTTTAACTTTTCTTAAGATATTGAGATTCGTTAGAGTTCTATGCAGTGGAGGGTAACATAAAAGCAAACAAAACAGTAACAAAATTTCACAATTGTAACATAAAGAAAATACCTAGTGGTAAATTGAAAATTTTAAACAAGAAGTTCTTAAGTGAAAGTTAGTAATATTCTAAAGCTTCATAATATTCAGGATTAAGTTCAACACAAACTAACAAAATACACTAGACACCACATTTAACACAATCACTACCACAAAAATAAAATATAAATACTCATAATAAAATAAATGCATCACAATAGTATCTAACAAAAAAAAAACACAAATAATAGTAGCAGTCTAAATAAGTACAACACAAAATAAAGTAATTGTTCAATACAATTATACCATAGAAAGTTCACAATTTAAAACTAAACTAAATTTAATTCTTCTCCTCCTCATCATCATCACTATCACTATTTCAAAAAGAAGTAGGTTCATATTAAGGATATTGTGGATATGAAGGAAAAAACGACACTTTGGTCACCTCTGATAAGGTTTCCAAAGATTAGTGAAACTTTTCTTCATAGTTACTGTGTTTCCTCATATAACCATCCGTATGATCTACGAAGTTCTCCAAATTTAGCACCTTGTCAGTAGTATAATTGATGTTATCTAACATCATTTGCATTAGTTGAGCCTGCGAATCAGAACTAAAAGCCTGACCTTATGATGTGGATGCACATGTAGTAGAAGCATGAGAAGTAGATGCATCTGAACTCCTAGAAAATCCTCCTCTCCAGCTAAATATCGGATGTTGTGAATAAGATTTCACATTAAAGCTTGTGATAGGCTTTAGAGGCTACAATATCTCCTCTCATCTATCGAATCTAACACCAGCCTACTTACATAAGAAAAAGTTTAAGGATGTGAATCCCAAACATGCAGTTATGGCAGCTGTAGCAGAACTGATGATAGTCTGATAAATCAAGGATCCAATATCAATCAGCTTGAACTGCTGAATGCAATAGTTCAAAGTAGCTCCATATCTTGTAACTTCACTGAGGTGATTGGATGGGAGCAGACGAGCTGAATTAAACCAGTGTCAGGCTTTTGATGTGGCATCTAGCTTTGGCGCAGGGAAATTGACTCTCCTTTCATTTATTATCTTCCATAGTCCTCTTCCTGTAGTCAATGAAGATATGATCTCATCTAACTCCTCCTCTATTGTATTATAATTTGAATAAAAACATAATACACTAGGGGGCAGCTGATAAAACAAATTGATTACCTCAGAGGAGAAAGGTACAGATTTTCCTCAGACCATAACCTGATCTTCTTCAGATTCAAGAAGATTAGCGTAGAACTCCTGAACTACAAAAATTACAGCTACAACAGAAAAATAGCAAAATCATTCTCGCTATCTGTGAACTATCAAATCTTCTACTGCTCCACCCAAAATTTTAAAATATTGCTCAGGAATCAGTTTTCTTGATTGTATTGCTTCGGTATATTTGTCCTGAGCCTTTGAAATAACAAACTTATTTGAATCAAAGTGGGATTTCCCTTTGCTCCACTTCATTCTTGGGGTCAATTCTCAAGAAGATAAAATTTAGCAAATTTGGCTTGATTCCTCAATGAAATATTCAATCTAGAAGAAGCACTAGATCCACAATCACTAACTTAAATGGAAGAAGACGATGTTGGGGGTCAAAAATGACATTTTTCTAATCAACTTTTCTCCCTTAAATCGTCAGGAACTGATTTAAGTGAACCGGCACTTAAGCGCGACTGGTTCAACGCTTAGGCGCCTACCTCTCGAGTAGTCCAGGGCTTAGGCGCGGGGTTTTGGCTCTTAGGCGCTAGTGCATTAATTTTGATGTTTTTGATTTGAAG